AGACTGCGAGTCGAGTGCCCTAACCACCTGGCCATGCCGGGCCGAAATATCAATGTCAAGGTTTAGATTATTTCAACAGTTAGAAGATGTTTGATGTATAGATGTTGCTACATGTACAAAGCACATTTTACTGCTCTTTAACATACCAAAAAATAGGATAGAAACCTAAAGATAGCATAGCTAATTCTGCTGACAATATTTGATCTAGTAATTTATAGTGCTCAGATTCAAAATTACATCTACACATGTGGTATATAAACATATTATATGCATTTTCTACCTTCTTATTTTAATATGGTGTTTTTCAGAGCTTGTCATGTATTCTGGACAGTGTAGTTTTTGCACAGCATGTGATCAAGAAAGACATTAAGATGCTTTCATTCTCTTGAGGTGAAACCTAGTCTGCCCACTGGCAGTATGGTTGTAATGCTGTATGTTGTGCGAGGATGTCAACAACAGTGTCCTACGATGATCGAACAGATTATGCTTGGAGGTTATAACCTCCCTTAAGTATGAATGGGAATGACCAGTCACACTGGTAGCACTTATTGCTCTGGATAAACCTGACATTATCATTTAGTCAGTCTGGAACTTCAGATCTAGTTCTCCAGTAAAAGGCAACCATCCAACATGTGACGTAAATACATACACTGTATTCTGAATAAAGATCATTCCTTGTGCTAATACACAATTGTGTCCAGTATTTTATTCTCTTTATTTATTTCTCATGAACTCAGTTACTCAGAGAACTCAGAACTACTTTGTTGTCACTCTACAGGAAATCACTATGGGTCAATTTGACGTTTCTTATTAGTACGGAGCATTAGACTGTTATCAGTTCTGCTTGGTTCCTAAAGTGAACAGGTCAATGCAAAGACATCTTGTGGGATGAAAACTGTTGATCAATTTGCAGATCGAGTTAGAAGTGACAATTACACACACTATTTTTTTGCTTTGCGTATAAATAAAGACTGTTTTTCACTTTACATCACGTATCCAGTCTCATTACTTTCTTTGCTTAAAACTCAGTCATTTAGCTAAATTCATATTCACTCTGTATTTATCCTGCACAAATCTCTTGCTATAAAATGGTCCTATCTTATACTCATGTGGAAATCAATTTCACCTAAAAATACCACATCCTTACCAGATTTGAGCATCAGGATTAGTCAGAGAAAGAACAAAAATCTACTTATATCCTGGACATAGTAGTGTGTTAATGAGATTGAATAAGTTTAGAATTTTTAAAAATCCAAGATGAAGAAATAAAAAACTTTATTTAAGGAACATATTTGGTCTATTACTAAATATATATATATTTTAATAGTTGATGAAAAGAAGAGCTAAAAGACAGATGATGCCAAATACTTTACCAGCCTATAATGTTACAATACATACATTGCTAGTTAACTTTTTCTATGCATACTAAAAAAAGATTACCTGGAATGACAGTAGCTTAATAGATGTAGATCAAAAATGAAAAAATAAATTAATTCTGACCAAACAATAAATATGCTCCTAATCACTGTAGGTAAACCTTTTGATGCAAAGCTTTATTGAAATATTATATGAATATAACTATCAGAAAACAGTAGCATAAATACAATGAAAAGCTGATAATACTCACAATGACAGGCATTAGATAATAATTCACCGAGATATCTATTTTCAGTTGTGGAATATCAGCTTCACCACTGAAGATGTAGAAAGATGCTAGAGCTAGAAATAATTTTGTTTTAATTAGCTAAAGTTATAATTTACCTGCACTGAAAATATATTTCCAAGAGTTAATTACTTCCACTCACATACATAGCTATTCTTGTTCAGTGCTGCCTTCTATTTGCAAAAGTTTTTTGTGTGCCACAAACCTTTCACTCCCACATACCCCTCGGTTCACATGGTTAAACTGAATCTCATATGCAAATTATCATGCGACAAACCAAAATACTTGCCCCACATACACATGACTCATGCGACTCCCTCTGTACTATTCTACCTAAGTACCACTTCGAGTTTAGACAGAAACCTAAGCACCAGCTGACAGTGGGGATGAAGGGTGGGAAGAGTGAATGGAAGTACGTACCTGTTGTACATATATTTTCAGTGTAAGAAAATTATAACGTAATGACAAGGTACCTTACTTCTGCTCACATACATACATAGCTAGAATCCCACACTGAATAGGTGGAGGAACCAATTCAAGGGAGAAAGCGTATGAAGGACACCCTCATGAGGGAATCCTCTGATAAGAGGATTATATGTAGAAAAGATGTGACAGATCCAGGTGGAAAATTATGAGGAGCACATCCCAATGGGAAAGAAAATGGTTGGACAGTGATCCGAACCTCAACATATTATAATTTCAATCTCCCTGATGAACAGAATGTGGATGAAATAAGGGACGTGCCCCAAGGTGTAGAGTGGCTAGGGCATGACCAACTATCTACAGCAAGTCAACTGTGTCCAAAACTCTACTGCCGGAAACCAACATCCATGCAGGGGTAGGACGAGAATCATACCGTCTGTAAGCCAACTACAATCCAAAACCCAACTGCCAGGAACCAACATCCATGCGAGGGTAGGAAAGAGGATCATGTTGTCTTCACCTCAAGTTCAGCTGATTGGATGGAGAAATCCCACCACTGATAAGGAAACAGGGCACATGTAAGCAGAGTGAAATACAAATATATTCCACACAATTCAAACAAACCGGACTACCTCAAACACAGTAATATCTCTGGCATAAAGACACTAAAGACCAGAGCAAGAAGAAGAACTAGAGCAACCAAAAAGTGCACTCGCCATGATCCACAAAAACAGGGCAGTGCCCCCAAGGCAAAATTAGTGAGGTACCAGGCACCCCCTGAACACATGTGAGGAATTATTGTGATTGGTTCAGCTCTAAATCCAAAACTCAACTGCTGGGAACCAATTTCCATGCAGGGTAGAATAAGGAATTCCAACTGAAGGGATGAAATGCATATATATGTCAGCACACCACATGTGTGAGGACATATTGTGTTTGGTTCAGCTCTAAATTCAAAACTCAACCACTGGGAACCGATTTCCATGTGGGGGTAGGATGAGGGATCCCAATCATTATGACGATTCACTCCAAACCTACATCACCCACTTGGATAAGCCCATGCAGATATGGAGCATCTTTCTGGAGGATATCTGCCAACTACACCAGCACAACACCACCACCCTACTCTCAACCGTATGGAGTCATTATTGATTATATTGTATATCTCTCATTCTAGAGGAAAACTCAGAATTCATAATGCAAATGAAAACCAAACGCAACTGTGTCGGTAAAGAAAGAAACGCACGGAAAAATGAATAAGTTCCATAACTGGGTAGAAAATAAAATAATACCATGACTGAATGAGGTACAAATTAAAACTAGATAAAATATGTAGGAAACTTGTAAATAATCAATTTGAAAATTTAAGATTCAAAGAGAGAGCATTAAATTAAACATTCAAACATGAGCACTAACAAACGAGAAGTGATAGTTAGGTAGAATAGCATAGAGGGAGTCACGTGTCTTTGGGGTGTGTCTATTGATGGAGGTTTATCGCAAGATAATTTGCATGTGAGATTCAGTTAAAACTGTGAACCAAGGCTCTTGGTATGTGACAAAAATTTTGCAAATAGAGGGCAGCATTGAACGAGAATACCTACGTATGTGAGTAAAAGTAAAGTACCTTGTCATAAAATATAATAATTAATGAAATAGCACGAATTTAATTTTTTATTTTAAAACAAACTTACTTTTTTTTCTAATATAAAAGGCTCTATGGAAACCCTGATGCTTAAACACATTTTCCCTGTGAAGTGAGAAAAAGTGCAGTACTAACTATTAGATTTTGCAAAAAGTTTTATTAATTGTCAAAAACTGTTTAAAATATTTTTTTAAACATGATTTACATTTCACTTTGATACTTGTATTACAGAGGTAACTAAAAATTAAATTGCTGTTTGTTTCTGGAATGTATTAAGTAATCTTGTATTAGAATACTCAAACAATAAGTGTAAGATACAATGTTAAGTTTGCATGAAAATCAGTAACATACACCCACATTAAAATGTTATTGATTATAATGTTTAGAATAAAGAAAATATCCCATATAGACAGACTACGCACAAGGAAAATTATAAAACGTGTTTTTTTATTAATGCCTTTAAATTAACCCTGCAATTTTTATTTAGTGGCAATAATTTAAGTTCTTGAGAAACATTTATCAACTTAGCTTTCAATGGTAATGGAACGAATTTCTGAAAATAGTTCTTTGATCAAAAACTAACTTTTGAATGCAATCAATTATTTACAGATACTTGTATTTTACTTATAAATACATAAAAATACTTAATATGTCTAAACATGTTTGACAATAGCCTTTAATATTACAAAAACAAGTTTTATTGTAATAAAGAATGTCTTACAAGCTCTTTATGGCTTATGATAAGCAAGCTCAATTCATCCATATCTTTACTGTTCGTCCTGATCTTTTTAACAATGTTGAACAAAACATTCCTAGGTCAAATGCATTAACCAAATTACCAATCTCAGCTAAACACGTTTCAATGAACTTCGCTACAATTTAAAAATGGAAAATTACTTCAAGCCTATTCATTTATTACTTCAACATAATTAAACAAAATTATCAAAAAAGTCTTACTTGTTGCTCCAACAACAACCACTTTTCCAAGAAATAACAAAAAGTCTGTCACCTTGTCCAAAACAACCACTCTGAAATATATTAAGTATATTTTTCTTTAATTTAAAACAAATATGAAACTAAAAAGTCATAAATATATATAAAATTTCTATTATGTATTGAGCTACATTCTTGATGTGGATTTCACAATGTTTTTAACATAAATCGAACATACAGTATTTTAAAAAAATTCTGAAAATGTAATTTGCTGAGCAAAATTTTCTCTCTTCTCTCTCTCTTATACACAGTCACAAAATAAAGATTACCTAACAATATTTCTCATCAACAGACTGAATGCTTCTCTTGCTGAGGTGCAGAAATTCTTACCATATACAGCAATCTGTGTTAAATAAAAAACAATACCTGTCTTCATAAAGTAAATTTAAGTTTAGCATGTTTCTTGCTAATCAAAAAAAGTACACAATTTTTACAATTCAGCTGCATTAGTTTAAAAACAAAATAGTATCAAACATCAGTATACTGGATGCTATAATTAAAAATACAATTTTTACAACAATTTTATTTACATTTAATATCATTTATTCATATGTATTTGTAATCTAAAAACAGGAAAATTGAGTGGCAGGTATGAAAATAGATTTTTCTCTTTGTTTTGTTCAAACATGATGGAACACTTAACTCATTTTGGTAGATCATTTTGAAATGATGATTATGAGAAAGTTTAATAATAATATAAACTGTCATAGTTACACTTTTCTGTGACATTCAAAAACAGTAAATTACATATAACACATTATACTTCTGTGACTCTGAAATGACAGAACTTCTTATGTAATCATTTTTGTCATTTCAATTCCAGTTGCTATTCAGACAGTAGATGTATCTTCATGCATATTAAATCAGTATAGGTTTACTTGCCATACATCCTGTTAAAGCTATATTGATCAGCAGATGGCACTAGTGGCCATTACTCCTTTTAGTTAAATATTAATTCCCCTTAATTAACAGTGAAAAATAAATACAATTATGAACAAAAATATGAGCTTTCTTTATCACATTTATAATTAATTGACCATCTTTGACATTTCCTCTACAGAATTATCACTTCAAAGTTTGGTGGAAGATGTCAGCACTGGAGAAAAGTGGGGAGGAAGGGTGAGTGGAGGGAAATACCTATTGGAAATACATTTTCAGTAAAGGAAAATTATAGCTCCCTCTCACAAGATTAGCTACAATCCCACATTGATAAGGAGGGGGGACCAGTGCGAGGTAATGACAGAAGGATACCACTGGAAATGAGAAATTCAGATCCAAAGATGAGAAGAGGGGAATCACACTACTTCTGAGCCAGGTATACAATTCACCCAATTGTGGAATGTGTAAAATATAAGGGCAGAAATGAGAGGAGCACATCTTAGTGGGAGATAGAATGTGGCAAGAAATTGATCCTAACCATAGAAATATACTGTAATTCAATCCCACAATGAGAAAGGTGGGTAAACAAAGCATGTGCCCCTAGGTGTAGAATGGTTAGGGCTTTGCAGACCATACTTGGTAAGTCAACTACATCCAAAACCTGCCCACAGAGTACTGACATCCGCACAAAAGTAGGATGAGGATCATACCGTGTTCACCTCAAACCCAAGGACCAAGGGATTGAGAACCACTCTGATTCACGGGTATGACATGAGGATTAGCTCTGAGCTATCAACGTGGGAACTTGACATCTGGTATCATCCAAATAGCAATAACATCCCCTAAGAAAAGAGGACAAGGGATAGCCAAGGACAGATCCAGAATAATCCCAGGTACCACTGCTGTAACCCCCTCAGGATTTCTGTGGAGATCTTCTAATAAGAGCTGTATGGAAGAAAGATACCGTAATAGATTTGTAAGGGTAAGATGCAGGTGAGAATATTGGGCATGGGTAAGACTGACAGATGATTCGGGAGCTGCCCCTCAAATAGGCAATAAGGAAACAATTGCTGATCTAAAAATGAAAAGTCAGCACGATGGTGTGAATGGATCTGAAGTCCACAAGGGGTGCAGCATGCTAATCCCCTCACTTAATTGCGAGGCAAAGTGATCAGTATGAACCCAAATATCAGGTGAGGGAGGAAAAACCAAAAAGGATTCGTAAGATTGTTCATGCAATAAGGAAGGACGAGGTGCATAAGAAATAGGGGAAAGGGATAAAACAACACAAACCTGAGAAACAAAATTCATAAAGACCGCATTAGTCCTAGTAGATTTATCAGGTTGGGAATGGGAAGGAACAGCAAAATCTGGAGGTGGAAAAAGACGACCAAAGTCCTTATTAGTCTGCACAGAACCAGCCTGGGGAAAAAGGTTGTCCCATGTAATGTTTGAGCTCCAGGCGAATAAAAGCAGATAAATCCACCGTTGGGTTGCCCACACCCGAGGCTTGAGAAAAAATGCTGTTCGTTGCTGTAACCCCCGAAGTGGTAACACTAACTTTGGAATTCATTGCATAGAAAAGTTCACCAAAGTCAAGTGCAGAAAATAAAGAAACTAGAATTAACTAATAAATACTAATAGAATAAACAGGCTGGATGAAAGCACATTTATTTAAAAAAAAAAAAACCACTTCGTGAGGAAACAAAGTTGAACATGAAGCATTAAACAAACAAAAGAGCACATCCGAACACAAGCGTTGCCAAACGAGAAGTGATAGTTCAGTAGAGGAGTATAGAGGGAGTCATATGCGATCCGTGAGCATGTCATGCTCGTATTGGTGGGGATGTGATACACTATGATTTGCATGAGAGAGATGTTGGAATCTTGCAATTCCAACAAGGGAGGGAGCAGAAGGTTTGTGGTATGTGTAAAGAAAAGTTCGCATATAGAGGGCAGCACTGAACAAGAATAGCTAATTTTGTGAGAGGAGGTAAGTGCCGTATCGGAAGATGTTACAATCTTATACAAGAGTAATTCATTATAAATGTAATTCCTTACCAACTGAACATATTTTGGAATCAAGTACATGATTTATACTTTCTGAGCAGATATTCTAAATAAAATAATCATTCCTACCAACTAAACAAACGTTCTAAATGAGACAGTCATTTCTGCTCATTAAATAGGTATTCTAATAATGTCAATCACTCCAGCTTACTAAGCAGATAGTTTAAGTGTTAACCAATCTTGATGACTGAATAGATGTTCTAAAAAATCAGTTATCTTTACTACCTGGTCTGTCAAAACATGTATCGAGATTACCAAAGGTTGTATACTGCTTATTTTAACCCCTTTTTCTTTAATACTTATTGTATAAGTAATTCTTTTTGCCAAAGAAGATAAAAAAACAAAAAAAAAACATGTGCAATGATTGTGAAATAATGTTTGAATTATAAAGTGTGCAAAATGATACAATATTACCATTATATAGGCATTTTTGTTGATAAACTTGAGGAACTTCTCCAAACACCAGAAACAACACTTGCAACACCTGTAAGTTTGAAAATAAAAATATTATATCAACTATGATGAATCTTTTACCAAAATTATCATTAAACATTTACTCCTCAACATCATGCTAACTGAAGCATCAGTCTATATGCATGTATAAACATGTATGTTTATGTTAAAATATAAATAAATATCTTATACTGAAAAAGATTAGGCAAGACTTCATTAAAGAAATCTATGTAATTAAAAGGACAATGTGCATCCATCAGTCCATACATGTATGCATGTAGTTCACAAACAAACCCAATATTCCCATTAGCTAATTGTACAGTGGTACTTTTACATTTATACAGGAGTAGAAGTGAACAATATTAAACATGCATTGTTCTATATGAGCACAAAACTACAAAGTCTATAACATTAACTTTAAAGATAATTACTTCAGTAACATAAACAAACACGCAAGGTGGTTTATAAACAATGCAATAGCATTATATTTCAATACAAATTCCAAAAGGCACCAAAAACTGACAATTAGGCCTAAAGTTCAAATACACTTCATACGTGAACCATGAGTTTACCCACTCTCTAATCTAGGGCAGTTAGCCTTAAAGTCACTGCCACACTTTCATTAACTTATGATGCTCTACAGCTAACACAAAGTGCAAAATAAATTAGTTACAGATTTCAGGTGATATACAAACAGTGGTGGACTGGGCCTCTTTTTGGAGACACTGGCAAAGGCTTATCAAGGACACTCCATTGGTAACCTAATAACTTGTGAGAAGTATATCAAATTGCACTGCCTACAAGTGAGGAATCTATAACTCATGAAGAAGAAATAAACCTCTTGCCAAAATAATTTAGCATTTATTTAAACGAAATCCCTTAATTCTTAATTTTAAACAGTAAACATTTATGATAGTAGTATGTTCAGTGGTACATGAAACTTGTGTGTAAATGTATAGTTTCCTGTTATCTATCCCATTTTCATAAGTATTTTTAAGATTAGGATGTAACTTACCAAAGTAGAGCCTTGGTTACTTGGTTATCATATTTTTTCAACTTGTTATCTATGTATTCCAGCATGACACGAATCATTCTGACAATCGCAATGATGAGCGATCCAAAGGCCACAGAACCAAGATGATAACTGATAATATTGATATATAAAAAGTATAAATACATACAGATTGAATGAGAACAAAAGAATAAATGTATACTACAAAGGAAAAAATTAAGGAACGAACATCCCCTAGCAAACCTACATCATGAGAAAAAGATTAGTTTCAAGCTGCTTATCATTAAGTATGGTAGTACTTAACAGTAGGAATCCACAAGGGAAAAAAATGGCGGCTGAAAGAAAACCTCTTTCCCAAAAACTGCCTTATAAAAACCTTTTCCAACAAAACCCTACTGGGATACACAGACACAACAAAACAACACTATACCTTGAGTTACAGTGAAAAAGGTCGAAAAGTGATCTGCTACAAGTTTTTAAAAATTTCTAAAACAATTACTATTTTAGTTGACTGACTGATCATGTCAGATAGCCTAGAGCAAAAATAACTAAGCCATTTGGTCCAATATTCTCTCACAGTACTTGGTTTGATGGTGGTCTTCTGCAATAAAAATCCATAGATATACAGGTATATTATAAATAGTAAACAAATTATGCACATATCTTTGCAACCCAAAGGACGGTGCTACGTATCGATGGGTAAACACATGACAGTTTCTAAAGGTAAAGTATATAATTTATACAGGTATAACTTAAAAAGTATACAAACAAGAGTATTAAAAAAATTATGACTTTTAAAATGAAGTGGGGATGTTGCTACAAAAAGTACTGAAACAAGATTTAAAACCACAATCACAAATTTACAAAATTTAATCCCTACTTTGGCAGCTTTATACACTTATCTATAGACCAAAGTAAGGATTAAATTTTATAAATTTTCATTTTCAAATTCATAATTTTTTAATACTTGTTGTTTTTTTGTCTATTAGCAGAAAAAAACTATCTTCAGTATACTAAACAAAAAAAAGGGTAGAAGAAAAGATGGCTGCCAAAAAGACTGATCACTGTGTCGGAACTATCATCAAGATGACTTCTGAACAGATAAGATAGGACTAGAACCTTCCTAAATTGAAGATGAAAACAACAAAGAATTAACAGCAAAAGAACAAGGAGTAAGAAAGTAACTACAAAACAGATATGTTTATTATGTTGAAAACTAATATTTTCTTGGGTTTTTGTGGTCAGTAAATTTGTCATAAAATTTGATAATAACCAGAAAAGCAGTCAGTTCTCAGCATTCACTTGAGACATTTGAATAAGTGAAATGTTATGTGAAGAAAACGTAACATAATAATGATTAAAGGCATGTAAGCAGCTAAAAAACAACACTAAAAAATATTTTTAAACAAAACAGAAAGTGCAAAGAATTAATTCTACTGACAGCCAAATGAATAAGGCCTCACTCTATGACACCATATAATATGAAGTTAAAACAAAAGCTATATAATTTTTGAAACATGTTTCCAATATAAGTATAGAAACTCCTTTAGCAAAACAAAGAGAATGTTGAAGCAATCAGGAAGCAATGTTGAAGCATATGCTGGAAGCCCTTTAATTGAATGTGCATGGGGTTGGTCCACTTGAGAAGGTATGCTGACTATAATTTCGAATTTAATATGTGTATCTACATGAAATGTGACAAGCTTTTAGTAAAACGTACAAGTCTGTTTTACACAAAAAATCATATGTGTTACAAATGTATTTGTACTTAAGATATGTTTGTGAGTTGAAGTCATAAGTCTGACTCGTATTTTAACAAGTCGGAGTGCAAGGTGATGTTCATACGAAGAATAAAACAAAATTTGTCCATTGTACAGTTGCATATTGTATTTGCATAACCTACTGAACTTTCAAAATGCATATCTACAGTGGTTTTCAGTATCCCTGTATACCGTTTCTGGTATTTACTCTTGCATACCATGAACTGTCACTAAATCAGCAATATGGGGCAAAATGAATAGTTGATAGTTCTGACATCAAATACATAATACGACATTAAATGGCACTCTGTAAAAGGCCATGGCATTCACACTTTGACCTCCACCTGTGTGCATAGGGTTAAATGTCAGTACAATAATTTGTCTAACAAAGCCAGATAATATGGAAAAATGAAGGATGATTTTGCATCCACACTGGAAAAAAAACTACTTGAGCAGAAAACTTAGGGTTAAGAAGCTGAAAGAATGCGAATTATACATGTATCTTATACTAATCTACATGACAAAACATTCCACAAATCTTTCATTCTATGAAATACTTTTTTCAGTTAAAGAAAGATCTTTAAAGCAGATCTTATTACTAATCTTTAGATTAGTAATAAGTAGATAGTAGATAATATCAGAAGTTCAAAAAAATCGGCAACAGAATTCATCAAGCAAATTCTCAGCAAAACAAAATATGATAATTAACCCCAAATTTAAATAAGCTTTCAGCAGAAAGAAAGATAACCTGTACAGAAAAAAACAAACAGATTAAAAACCTATGATTAGAGCATAAATTCAAAAACATTCAAAACAGAAATGAAAAAATATTGATACTAAAAATGGTCCATCATATGTACAGAAAAATTCTAAAATGCACCTGTTGACAGAACACATATTGTACCATGCAATAATGGAAAATGAAAGATTTTACAAAGTTACTGGTTAGAACTTAACCTGAAGATCAGTAATTTATATAAAAACTAGACTTGTGATAGAACAGCTATGAATTTCATCCTTCCATAACTACTTTAGAACATATCTTTATCCAGATATATTCCCAACATTTTTCTAAATAATCCTGCAGATGTTCAGCATGTAATAAGAACCTTCTTGTTAGACATGTGTCAAAAGTTATAAACATGTACTAATTCTTTTACATAGGTTACATTTGCAATAATCAACAGCTACAAACTCATATCTCTCTGGCCTCATGTCTCCCTCCATGGGAAGGTGGCGACTGGTATTAGTTAGGGGTTTTTCTCTACCATAAGTGTTATTTGGAATAATTCGTGATGCATGCAGCATTGTATTTTTGTATATTGTACTTTAACATTTTGTCTAAATTTTGGTTCGGGAAATAAATATTATTTTTGACTTTGTCTTAGGTAAACACAGAGATTCCTCTCTACCCCAGCAGCCAGTGAGAAATCATTATAAGCAAAACAGAAATCAATCAGTAGGTTAATATTTACACAATTATTGTGAGTAAGAATTTGTATATTTGTTCACTTGTGTTTATAAGTGTTTGTTTTTTTTCTTTACAGTCCATATTTTAAATTATTTTCTGCAGTAATATTCCTGCAATCTGTGTTATTGCAGATACTATTAAGTTTATCTGTTGGATATCAGTGTACCTGAATACCACATATATTAACTCTAAGACAAAGTATTCTATCTATGCAGGTGTTGGCAGGCAGAGTTAAAATCAAAAGAAAATCTGCAGTAAAAATAAATTAAGCCTAATCTTTAATTGTTTGACTTAATGCTATAGCAGAACCATTACCAAATTCATCAGTGAACCACAGTTATCTATTTAATTGCAACTAGTTATTTACACGCCTTACTCTCCTGAAAATAGTAGCTTTGCTCGAAGTTAACATATTATCAGGTTGAAAATTTATTGCATACAGATATACTTTGGGTCATTGTACAACTAAATCAAATCTACTTCTTAACAGTTTGATACATTTCATTAATTTAGCTGATAAAACTGTTCACAAGATTCAAATTTGCTTACTTTATGAAATTTAAGTTGGTTTACTTCATAAAAGAAATTGCAGTCATGAAACCTAGTATTTTTATTGAATAATCACGTTTTTAATGTAGCAGGAAAAAACAACACCATACTGCACATAATCAAAGACAGATGAAAAATAAAAACAAGAAAACAAAATTTCATATTCCAAAATACAACTTACCGTGTACACCTCCAAAAACCCTTACCAACAGCAAATGATGGAACATCTGATTTTTTAAAGGTCCAGTAATAAGATGCAAAAGCACCAGCTAGTGAAACCTGGCCAACCCCTACAATAAAGAACATACCCCAGAAGAGGCCGAAAAGATTGTAGATTTGGGCTCTAAACAGATTGGGATCCCCTTCAAACTTTGTAAAAATGCACATAGCTTGGTCGGTAACTGTCTGTTTAAAGGAAAAGAAGAATCATTCAATTCAAATAATACAAGTTCTCCATAGTCTACATGAACCAACAGAAAATCTCTGATATCAAAAAGGCATACAAGAAAAACAAAAAGTCTAATATATGTATAAGTTGACTGTGGAGTTAAATATAACCCTGAAGATGAATGCAAATGAAACATTAAGCAAAATATAAAATTATAATTCAATGTAAGCATGAAAATCCAATTGGAGAAATGTAAATAAATGAAAGAACTAGACATTTAAGTTTATGAAGAAAGATAAGAGTTCATGTACTCATCTTGGATTAGTTATCTCTCCTCTGGTTGTGTTCACATTTTACTGACAAGTCTATTCAAAATTATATTTTTAGCATCAAAGACAATGAAATCTCTAAGTACTTATTTTCTTTTGGTCTTTCCAAGCATTAACATTTTCCTAAATTGAAAATGTATTTTTAATAATACTTACTTTCACTGACACTTATACCTATTACTCATCCTCCAAGGTTTCTTCCTTTGCCCCTCTAAGCATTGGTCAGATTTTTTCTCATTCGCTCTAGTCTTTTATATTCCACTTAATTGCTCTTGGTGATATTTGTTTCATGAAACTCTCAACACTTTCTGGGGAAGATGGGCGAAAGAGTGTCAGAAGAGGTAAGTATTATTGGAAATACATTTTAATTTAGGAAAATGTTAACTTCCAAAACATACTTACCTCTGCTAACACTTGTAGCTAGAATCCCACACTGAGAAGGTGGAGGTGCCAGTGAGGGCATTATCCATACAGACAGCATCTGCATAGATCATGGGTGTGCCAAGAGAAGATTGATACCCTCGTCAGGGAGCCACACTACATCCAGAATAGGTATGCTCTTCATCCTGAACTTAGTTCTGTATCAATGGTGGAATTGTATGGGAATGATCATCACTATAGACCAGCCCCAACCAGATAGCTGAGGTTCCACAACTCAGAGATGTAATTAAGGGGTCTTGGATCGTATAAGCCTTACTCAACCAAAGGAATAGAACTCATCGTGCCTGGAATTATGAACATTCATCCTCACTCCCCAACAGAGTGTTCAAGGAGCCTTCCACAACTGTGCTCAACCAAGGACCTAGGATAAGACCACTATGCATTCAGAATTATGAGGAGATAGTAGACCCCCTTCCATGAACAATGGACAGCCTAACATCAAATCTGAACTAGTATTACGAGTAGGCTCCTGCATAGGCTAGTGCCACTCCTACCGACATCCGAGAAAAAACATCCAGGGACCTTAGTAGGAGGGCCCCCCAACTTCACCCTATTTTTCAAGAGTGGAGGAATTCACTCTAACACTGGAGGAAAAGTGTCTGTCCACCACCCCAGTGACTGAAAACCTAGGTGTGGTAAGGACTCCCTAGCTCCACCAGTAAAATCTGGGGGGTAATGCGTATTGGGGAGTCCTGAGGAATAGTACAATAGGTGAACCAAGTTCCCTAAATTTTTAAAGGCAAACCAACCCTGATTTATTCAATCCGATTATTGGTAGGGATGGGCAGGATCCCCTTTATCTTTATGATAGTCCATAAGTAGCAGTCCAGCATAGTACGGTGATATCACCTGTTGAGCTCCTAGATGGTCTTATAGAACATCCCTAAATTCTACAGAGCCTGTTGCAGTCAGTAGTAAGTGTAGTGAAATAGTGGTTGCTAGTGTGGAATTGGATTGATAAAAGCACACCTGCCTGGCCAACACTCGCTACAAAGTGGGATCCAATGAGAAAAAAAAAAGGAGATAAGAGACCCTGGAAAGTAAAAAGACAAGAGAAGTAAAAAAAATACCCTCAGAAGAAGAAACTGCCAGATCGTGTAAAGAATGTGAGAGAAATGTATTAGGAGAAGTCCAAATACCAGCCCACACAATGTCTTCCAGTGGACAATTCAATCAGGCAGTGAAAGGCATAGAAATTTGATGTATCTGATGAGATGTGACTTGCAGAAGTTTCCTTGCATATAAAGATAGTCCAGAATAGATCAATTTGCGAACCGACTTTGTGAAAGTAATCAGAGATGTGTTGCAAGAAACCGAAGGATCTCAAAGAATAAAAAGTTGATTTCTAGTACCTGGAAAGGAGTTAGTGTGAGCCATATAACACCTCAGGGCCTTGATGGGACATAGCAAGTTATTGGGGTCCAAGCGGTCGTAGAGATGAGAAATAGCTGGCAAATAAATTGGTGAGAGAGATTTATTCCTTTCCCTAGCTGCCAGAGTCTTAGGAAGGAAGAACCTATCTGGGTATAACAGAACATAAGTAGAGTGATAAATGAGTCCTGTGCACATGCAGTGCAAATAACTCCAACTTACGACATCCAGAGGCCAGCAGCAACAAAAAATACATTTTAAGGGGAAGATGATACATAGTACATTTTTGGAATGAAGGATGCAAAACGATTTGAGAAGGTCAGATAGCACTGGGGACTTAAATAATTTCTGATGTTTAGAATATCGAAAAGTAGTCGATAAAGCTAGACCTTTTTCAAAAAGCCAGGTAAAAAACGTACATGGTTGGCACATTTGGATGAAGTGAGTTCAATTTCTTTGTAAGACATCATTGGTGATAAGTGTGTTATTTCCGTTGATAAATGGGCATTGTAAATCTACAGAGAGACTGAGACAAATACAAGGCAACTGTAGAAGTTAAACCCCAATGCTTTGCAAAGGCATGCATGAATGTCTGGGTGTAGAATGTTGGATTGAGGTTGCTTCAACAGAGATGGACAAAGAGGAAGTTGCAGAGGTGGATACTCTTGAAAATACTGAAGAAAAGGAAACCATGGTTAGACTAGCCAATCTGGGGCTACCAACAGCACTAAACAAGAAGTGGATCGAACCATAGTCAGAACACTGGATAACAGGCAAATTGGGGGGGTATAGAGGTGCATTATTTTAATACAATGTTTAATGTTCCTGTAGAGATGGAATGTTGAACACCTGAATCCTCTTTTTTGTAGATCTAGTATCTGAAATAAAGCAGAGAAAATCTAAAATGTTTTTGGCAAACTAATTAATCAAGATTAGTGCTAGAAACTCACATGTGGATCACACTTTTCTGTTGAAGTATTACTAACAGTCCTGAATGAAGGCTGGCCAGCTGATGCAATGTATCTATGATTGACAATCAAGATGCAAACTCAAATTTGGTAACAATGTTCTACTACATTTCTGTTTTGTCATTCTCACCCAAAGACTATTTTTAAAGGCAAATAAACATGACAAACATGCAATACCTTCACAACATTTAATAAAGTTTACTTAATAACCTATTGCACATGTGCACTCAAACATATAGTTGTAAACCTTAAATTAATTTTTTCCTTTTAATTACAAGTACAAAACTTTCATAGATTTTTGACTAAACTGATTATCTCTGTATGCCAGGCTTTAATTACATTTAAATTGTGTGTGTGTTTAAGATATGTGCATCATTATGATTCTCTGACTAGCTTTTAATTTTTCATAGCCTTAAGGTTGGAAGTAGGTGCATAATAATTTACAAAATATTATCTGTATTATAAAATCTATTTTGAACTGAATAATTTCAAAACAACTACAGCTTTACTGTGCAAAATGTTGATTATGAAAATTAATTTGCAATGTACAAGTATTTTGAAGTTAATTATCAATAAAAGAAAATAAGCTATATATATATAAACTCCCGCAGTAAAATTGCATAATTTTTTTATTTCATTTAATGCTTATTATTGGTAAATACCTTAATAATAACTACGATAACATATACTGTGTGAAAAAAAAAACTTTTTCCAAAATGCTGATATGTTACGCATGCTAGATAGAAGGATACAGGGACACTGAGCCCCAGAAGACAAAGAGGGCAAACATAAAGATGTATGGAATAATTGGGAAAAACAGTGATGATACCATTGTCCCTACAGCCCTGCAAGTAGAAAATACACTTGTAATATATGCTAAAACTTTGTTTCCTCTTAAATAATGTAGATACATGTAGGCCAATGTTTTAAAAAATATGAGCAATTTTTCACACTCTTTACTTTAACATATCAATAATAATATTCAAAGTTACCCAAAATTATTTCACTTCTCCATAGTTATATGATAAAAAATATCAACATGAACGTAAAGCAGTTGTATGAGAGTTGCGGATGTGTGTGAGTGTGAAGTATAAACTAGGAAGGTTAAAAATAACATATATCAATTATAAAACCTGTATTTGAAATTATATTCCTTAATGTGTTTTATTAGGAATATTAGTTAGGTAAAATGTGTAAGTTTCCATGAACAATACACTTAACAGTACTCTGAAAATATGTTAATAAAATATCCAGAGTAGGATAGTTTTATTTGTATTGTGATACCCAAAATAATAATCCTTTTCAGTGACAAATTTGCAATCCCAATAACTCTTACTAGTTAAAAAGAATCATATTTTCGCCTTGTTTATTTTGTTGTTAAGTTCAGAGTTGTACAGTGGACTATTTGTCCCACACCAACTACAGGGATCAACTCCTTAGTTATAAGCCCACAAACAAGCTTCCAACTAAATTGCTGGGGGGCACCTTTTAGCCCCCTGCAACCTTTTAAAAAAGAACTTGAATTCTGAAGACAAATTTTAAAATTTATTGTACTGTATTTATGTATTATAAAAAAATTCAACCAAATATCTCCAGACCTAGCTAACCATCTGTAAATTTAACCATTTTTACAATAATCATATTTTTTAAAATTCTAAACAGCAACTGACAAAGCTGCAAATTAACATTACATAAAATAGCAAAATTGGGCCCCTACCTGCTTCCTTCTTTAATTAAAGCAATGGCAATTAAGATACGTTTTCGAAGAAATATCAACAGCAACAGTAAGATGATAAGCAGCAATCCAGTAATAATTGCTACATAAGTAAATTGTAATAAATAAATAAGTGTAATTTTACTGAGAAAATAAGAATGACCAAAAGTCATGACATATTGCAGTGCCCAATTTCATAACAGACATATTATTTAGTTACAACATGTAAAACATTTTTATCACATTTGAATATAACAACATTATTAAACACTCGATACCTATTCCATTATTTATATTACACTACTCTTTTTTCATCTGATTTAATTTAAGGCAACTTTTATGATTTACAACTTAACATAAACATCTAATACTTTGATTTAAGATAATTTATGTTAATTTTTGGAACCAAGTGGAATAAATTTCATGTTCATACATAGTTAATTACACAGGCCTGTGAATTTAAACTTCATAAAAGTTGTTTTCGTTTTAATAACAGATTTGCCATAATGCTGCTAAGCAGATTTCGAGAATAATATTAATTTTTTTTCTATCATGTCAGGATTTTTTTACAAATTGGAAAGAAAAAAAAACAACTTACTTAGATCAAATTATTATTTTGTTTACCACAATGAACATTTTTTATTATTATGTTTGGGTTCTAGACTGATCGATAAGACTCTCAAGACGTGCAACTGGTCTGGAGAAATCTATAGCCAGTGGTTGTCAACATTTTAAGCATAACAAAATGTGACCTGATTTTAATGAAAATGATTCATTTATGTAAAAGTACACATGTTTTGGGAAATATCTGTACGTGATGGCGAAAAATGAATATCA